TTAATATATTTCCCTCGACGTGAACTTTTAGCTCTGTTCTCTAGAGACTATGTAAAGAGTGTGACCGCTGATTTAGTGGAGGATATTTTCATATTCCTCGAGTGGGAGTAGGCGGCAAGCTCCTCATGAACACCCCCTCGATACAATCATCTGCATACGTAAGGATCACTGGAGGGTGAGGAATTCCGCAGATATCACCCCACCTTGGAGAGGTTGAACAGTTCCGCAGATATCACCCCACCTTGGGGAACTCTCTATTTCGGATTTCTTGTTTAGGAATTCTACCTGCGACTGGCGCCCACACATTTAGTTGATTATCTAACGTTTCAAACTTGGTCGGAGGGTAGTTCTCTCTACATTCTCTAATCTCTGACTGTATCAAAAAAAAAAAAAATGACTGAGATTCTTTCACCCTTTTTCTTAGGGTTCGGTAGCGATTTAACCGTCACCCATAGCTTACTCATATCAGTTTCAATGTTGCAAAACTTCAGATGGTCTAGCCACATTTTCTTCTTTTTCTCCTGAACCAACCGATTGACTTTCACCTTTAATTCACTGATTCTGGGATCTTTAGGGTTAGAGCGATGGAGACCCTCACGCTCATTTGTTGGTCCCGCTGCCTCTGCTGGAAAATTTGTGTGTTATTTTGGGTATTCCTCGACCTCGACAGGTATATAGCGAGTGGCTGCATGTCTAATGATGTCTCGGGATATCAATTTTCCTGCCCGAGCATCAGAATGGTTGAACAGTACTATGTAGCGATGGTTGGTGAACTCTCTGAATTCAGGAACGCTAATCTCCCACCTCTACTTCTGGTTCGATTCTTCCTCAGTACGTTGCAACCATAACAATGTTTTAGGCTGCAATTTTTATTGAGCTTGCTTTCCTCCACCGCTGCAATCAAAATATTCCTCCTCCATTTTGTCTCAGAGCCCGTTGCAATTAAATTGCAAGAAAGATGCACAATCCGGAGTCGGAACAGCAACATGTGACATAAGATGCTGCGGTATAGGTAGCTGTTCGAAGACTGCAGTGAAGTTCTATACTCCGACGAAGACTCAGAAGAGGAGGACGGAGATGTGGACTCGCTGGGCACTACGTTGCTGTAGCACGTTGCAGAATAATCTCTTCCGCAGTAGTCGCGTTACCAACATAATCCGGAAAATTTTCTGAAGTACACCCATTCTCTGCATCCATTGCATCGCACTGAAACAGATCTGTGGTGAATTACGTTCTGACAAACCGAACAGAACCAAAGTCCGGAGTTTTCTTCGATTCCGGCACGGTAAAAAAATTTTTATCAGCAGAAAAATAAACAAACATGGACATGTATTCATTGGGGTGACAGCCCTTGGCCGAAATGGGGATGTTGTTGTTTCGAGTAAAACCGGTATCGTAGAACCCGCTGCTCTGGGATTGAACTATACTGGTGTTAAGCGGTTCCGATTTAGATACAACTGCCATTTTTATTTTTTTAAGCGATTTCATGTTAATTGCGCTATAAATGTGTAACATCTTCCCGAATAGGTATATATTGTATTCGGAACCCAAAATTAATTAAAATCTGTTGACGTTTTTTTTTTTTCAAACTTTTGAAAATTCTGGGTATATCAAAAACCACAGTGTAATGGGTACCTAAATAAGCATAATTGGCTATCCAGCACCACTGTGTCCGAATTCGCCGTAAATTTTCTTATAATTTTACACTCTAATAGCCAGTCAGGGTTATGGAAAATTCCAAGTGGATTTAATAAAATCCGCTTTGTAGGTGAAATTCCAGAGAGGCCAAACTTTTTAAGACCATATTCAAAGAGACCCAAATATTGTGAACTGCGTATTGAAATTTAATAGAGAATAAATGGGTCATTTTAGTCCACTTTTTGGTATAGATCTTTTATATGGGTAGGTGATGATTTCAGGTATTTCTTATATTATAGTCACATTTTCCATTTAATTTAGCCAATTGGTGGCATTTCAAGTTCTTGTTGTGTGGACGTCAATATGTACCTAAAATACACAGGAATCTTAATTCCAAAATGAAAAATAAAAATGCGAAAGAGGGGGTTGCTTTGCTGGACATTTCCAGTAATTCAAATTCATAACACAGTGTAACAATTGCCAGTAGAAGAGAACATGGAAAATATGAGGAAGATTTTATAAATATATATATTAATGTTCTAAATTTGGCACGGTGTTCGATTTTTAATAGACCTAACGATAGATTGTCTTTTAGGGGGATTTTCATGTTTTTGAGCCATATTTTTGGCTTATAACTTGAGATAACATCAAAATGTTCGTATAGCTGTCTATACATATTTGATTTTCTACGAACACTTTAAAATTGTATTTTTTCTAATTTCCCTTTCATGTTAAGCCTACAATAAGTGCACGCTTTCAAACGATGCGCAAGCGTAGCAAGTGCACTTAAAATGTCAACAAATTAAAAAACAGCTTTGCAAACGGACAAATAAAGTACATTTTTATTTGTTTGCAGAGCTAGGCATCTTTTTTCTAAAGTTTTCTTTGTTTTGTTGGGCAAAGTGATTAAATAAATCTTTACCTAAATTTATTGCAAACTGGCAACAAGGGAAATAACATCTTGGCAAATACTCGTAAGCGAAAATACAAAAAAATACAAATGTTTCTAATTGATTGGAGATTTGTTTTAGTCAAGGGGAGGATGGATCAACAGATTTGTTTTGGTATCCGTTAACACAGATACTTTATAACGTAGGAAACCTACTTTTCATAAATTGCATTGCATTAATGCTTTTATGCATTGAGTGCTGGTAAGCACTTATTCATCCCTAGACACTTATGCTCTCCACTCGATTTGTGGGCTTACGATTTTATCTAAACCATTATGGAATTATGATGCCAAGGTTGTTGCAGCATTCGGTTTTGTGCTTCATTTAGCCGCCTTTGAAATTCTAGTCAGAGGCATGATGAGCATTAGACGATTGGCGTCTGTCTTCGCACATGGAATTAAACGCCGTACGTTTTTGTTTTTGCATTGCATATTTGAAATTGTTTTTGAGTTTAACATATTTAATATCATCTTGAGGTGTAAACAAATTAATCAGTAATCGCTGTTGAGTGATTTGATGTAGCTGAAAATATTTGAGATAATATCAGTTTGCTAATAACATGTCGGTTTGGTATTTATGAATACGAATTATGAAGAGGTATGATGGGAGCAGAGATGGAATCTGCATTATAAATCCGCTTTATGAAACTATATTACACAGCAATATTTAAAGTCTTCCCTTAAGAAGACCTTAAAGTCTTCTATTAGAAGACCTTAAAGTCTTCTATTAGAAGACCTTAAAGTCTTCTATGAGAAGACCTTAAAGTCTTCTATAAGAAGGCTTTAAAGTTTTCTATGAGAAGTCTTCCATGTGAAAACTTCAAAGTCTAGGAGAGGACCTCAGGTTCTGCCATGACAAAACCTTAAAGTCCTCTATGAGAAGTCCTGAGGGTCTTCTATGAGAAGTTCTGAGGGTCTTCTATGAGAAGACCTCAGGGTCTTCTATGAGATGACCTCAGGGTCTTCTATGAGATGACCTGAGCTTCTGCTATGAGAAGACCTTAAAGTCCTTCTATGAAAATTCCTGAGGGTCTGCTATGAGAAGACCTTAAAGTCCTCTATGGGAAGTCCTGAGGTTCTTCTATGAAAAACCTCAGGGTCTTCTATGAAAAGACCTCAGGATCTTCTGTGAGAAGGCCTCAGGGTCTTCTTTGAGAAGACCTCAGGGTTATCTATGAGAAGATCTCAGGGTTATCTATGAGAAGACCTCAGGGTCATCTATGAGAAGACCTCAGGCTCTTCTCTGAAAAGAGTTCGTAGACTGGTATTAAAAGCGTGAAGCCCATCTACGGAAATAAGCAGTTACATCGAGAAGACCTCACGCTCTCAATGTGAAGCCCTCAGGATATTCCTGAAGAAAGACTCACGGTATTCTATTAGAATCAGAATTTTCTGTGAGGTGTCCTCTACTTTTCTATAAGAGAATCATTTCTTCATAAAGTCGTCAAAAAAAGACTCAATTTTGGTCTTTTTAAAAATTCATACTTCTTATCGATAAAGGCTCCATCTAGCTCCTCCTGATTATTAAGGCTTAATTCGGCTCTTTTCCGATCGTCATTAAAAACTCAGATCACACTCCCCTGTTCAATTTTATTCAACTCCTCTAATAAGGATTCCTTTTGGTATATAATCCTTCTGATATATAATCTATTCTCTATCTTCTGTCTTTTCGTCGGCCTTCTAGCCGCCTATGAAGACTCCTCTCTTGTCCGCTTTAAATACCCTATTTAGTTTGACCATAAAGGCTCTCTTTGTGCACTAAATTCTGTCCATCACTTTAGAGACCCTTTTCGTCATCTCTCAGAAGACCCTGCTGGCCATGTGGAAGGTTTATTTCCTGGTAATCTGTAACAGATCCAATCAGGCCTATCAGAGCCATAGAATTACAATGTTATCAGAGAGAAACAAAATTGGGAGAACACAAAGGTCTGACTCTCTACCCGACCCCAATTTATAACGACTGCCTTGGTAATAAAAAAACTTGAAAATCACAACGATTTCTATTGGTTGAATAACAGAAATTTTAACAGCCTAAATCAAACGCAGTTTTTAACCCTTTCAGTGTCAATGAAAATTTTTGTCGAGATAAAAATCTGAAATTCGGTACTAATTTACTAAAATGTGCTCAGAAATTCGAAAACGAAACTAATAGAATAGAACTGCAATATTTTTAAATAGCGAACGTGTCTGTTATTAAAAAATATCAAAAATAACGGTTCGTAAGAAAAACAAAAAATGGCAAAGAAAGAGAGTACTTTTAAATGTCAAATATATTTGACAAAAACACTGAAAGGGTTAAAGAAAGAAAGAAAGAAAAATCCCCTCATTTTACTAAATAAATAAAAATATTGAAACCAGTTTTAAAATACTTGAACAATATTTGCTAATATTTTAATTTTTATGCTCTTTACAGTTCGATGAATATCTACGTTCGCTATCCTTGTTCGATACGGATTTTAAAATCATTACCGACGGACAATTGCCCCTGCGTCAGTGTTTGCATCGTGAGGCCTGTGTCAAGGATATTGAATTGCCTTCGTACTACAACAAATTCAGTGATTTGCGCAAGGAATACAACAACTACAAGTCGGGTGATTTATCGCGGGCCCTGGTGCCGGTGAAGGATGTAAAGAAAATGCTGCAAATGCCGGTGGTGCCAATGGTGCAAAGCATTGGTGAAATAATGAGCGGTAGGAAGACCTTTGGAAATATAATTAAAGAACTTTTTATTCAACAATTTGTTTTTTTTTTTCTTCTTTTAGACCTAAGCCTGACATCGGTCGAAGAAACGGATTTTTATATTCGTGAATCTCGTGATATGGTCACAGTTATTCAACATCTACTCAGATCAGGTAATTTTGATTCGTTTTTGTTTTTCTTCTTCTAAGATTGTGTTAATTGTTTTATTGCATGTAATGCAAGTTTGTTTGTTGTTATTACTGCTACTGCTGTTTTTTAATTCGTTTTTAATATTTGTCGATAATAAATATTTATTTGTTTTTGAAACAATTTCAGGTCATAAATTTACAGCCAGCGAAACTGTTAGTTTAATTTTAGAACCTGGAATTTGGTAAGTCATAAAAAAATTATCTGTAATTTAAGAAGAATTTATGTGATAAATTAAAAAATTATAAGTTGTCTTATTAAATGGGTAGATTCTAAGAATTGTTTGTTACAAGTGAGAAAAATTATTAAACAATAAATAATTATCGATTGAAGATATGTGCAATTTTATAATAGTTTGAAAAATCGGTTGATAAAAGCGCCCAGGTAACATTTAATTGAGGTTCACAATTTATGCTACGAGGATTAAATATGTGAAACTATATCCTTGATATGGCAGCAAACATTGTTACTGGCGCTATCTTTGGAATCAAGGGAAAAAAGTTGTATGAGAGCAACAAACTGTTGGGCATACTTTTAGGCGTGAAAACGATTTTGTTAAGTAATGGTTAAAAATCGATTTTTTTGATAAGCAGGCGACATGTGGAGGATTTTAATTTTGAAAGAGGGCCTGAATAGCTTAATATATTTATTTATCCATATAGCATTACAATTATTATGGTTTTAGTATGACAGTTCAATATTATGTTTTCGGGCTTAATTTATGAATATTTCCTGTCATCCACAGATTTCCGGGGTAGATTACTTTAGACTTTGATATACCTTTATTATGAAATAATCCGATCAATATTCAATCATTTCTCCTAAAAATTAATATACGAGAAACATGTGGGCAATATTATCCATGTTCTGATACTCTACCAAAATTTTGAGACCAAAAATTTTGAAGAAATTCCCCATTTTAAGGAGGTTCTTATTAATAAAAATCAAGATCTAGACCTAAATAAGAAGGAATTATCCATTCTTGTACGACATTTATATTTTCACATGTTAAGTTTGGTCTATATCGGGTACTCCTTGGTTTTATATTACATCTTTTTATACCCTTAGTCATATTGGGTACAGAGGTTACATATCATTTGATACGGCCAAAACGTGCCTCATCGAAATAACGGTTTTAGACCCAAGATCTCTTTGGATAAATCCGTTTCAGGATATTTGGAGTCGATATAGAAATGTCCGTGCGTCCGTCCGTCTGCCTGTCTGGCTGGTGCACCCGATAAATCTCGAAGGAGTTTCCAATTTGGTTTTGTTTTATCGTAATATTATGGTCAAACTTAGATAAAATTCGGAGATGGGCGGATGATACCTCACCACAAAACGGAAACATTTTTAAAGAAAATAATTTACTTCATAGGAAGAGAAAGGATCATTCGATTTTGTGCAAACTTTGTACATTCCAATATTTTTGCCAGTCCTAGGTCAGGTGCTAAAATGGACAATAATGATCCACTCCAACAATTACCTCCCCTACAAAGCGGCAAAATGTCTAAACATTATAACCCTTATAAAATGTGAAATGAGGGTTCGATCGTCTTTAAATCCCAAATGAGCATCTGATTACTTTCAAACTCGGCACATCCGAATACTTCTATCATCTCAAGATTTGTTGTGAAGATGGACAATGATGGACTATTCCTTCCATAACGGGTCAAATTTGGACTTTGTCGGGAATTCAATTCGTTTTATGTGAGACTAACAAGTTAATATTTTAGATTTAGATTAATATTTTAGATTCGTTCCAACAGTTCGTTTCAGGCCTTTTCAATGCACGACTTGATCAATTTGACAAAAAAATGTTAACCAAAACTTCATATATCGTACTAAATTTACAGACATTCAATGTGCAAACCCTAGAAATTAACAGTGACCTCAATATCGAATTTCGGAATTTCAGATCCATCCCTTTACCCAATAACATTTAACATTTTATCAAAAACGTAAACAATTTTCATCTCTCCATGCTAGGCACCAACAGTGATTCAAAATTTAGTGCTCTTCGAACAATTATGGTATGCGTTTGCAAAACCACCACCAGATACAAACAGTGACATCTATATCAGAATTCAGGATTCCAGCTCCATTCCTTCGCCCAATACCACATTTAGTACTATTAAGTACTTTTTGTACAATTATGGTACACATTTCCAAAACTACCTCCATACTTTTACCACAGACACCAACAGCGACATCTATATTAAATTTGAGGATTCCAGCCCTACATTTCACACAATACAGAAATTAGTACTATTTTGTACTTTTCATACAATTATAGGACACATTGATACTTTTTTTTTTGAAGCCAAATATCTCATCCACCCCCAAGTGCCTCATCCTCATCAGTTCCCTTGTTTTTTGTCTGGGATATTCTGTAAATGTTTATAAGTGCGTTTGTAAGATTTAGAAGACTTTCCAAAAGAATTTTAGTTTTATTTAATTCTTTGGTTCCTCTTCTATTGAGCTTACGATCTCGTCACATGGGTAAAAAATGTTTCTGTCATAGAAGTTATTTTTAAAATATCTTCTGGGGAGAATATCCCAGACAAAAACAAGGGAACTGATGAGGATTGGTGGCTCTTTCCGAAACCTAGATATTCCCTGCCTCACCCCCTGGTAAACATTACCATCGTTCTCCACTAATAAACAAACGTTGGTTTTATTAAAAAACAACAACAATAAAGGGATAAAGCCTGACCATTTTGCAAAAACAAAATTCTACGGTATCCCGAAGAAACAATCCAACACTGTTCAATTGAAATAATTTTCAAATATTTCTGTCCAGAAATTGGTATTATTATATTCCCATGGTCTATATTGCTCCACTTCTTCTGGTATTACTTACAGAAACATCATTGAAAGACCAATGGGTTAGTTTGACTCTGCCTCTCTACAATAGACCGATTTCTCTGTACTCATTTGTTTAACTGTATATTTGAATTAGAAATTATTTTGCTTGGTAAGAATTTCATAAAAAATTATTTATTATCCCTTCTAAAACACATTTCTATTCCCTCTCTCAAAATTCACTCAAAAACCAACATTTCACCCCGCAAAATAAAAATTTCTCCAGTGTCTTATAATTTATGAGCCATGCCATAAAAAATATTTATCACAAAAATATCGTGACACCAACAACTGACACCTGATAAGAATGACACTTCAGTTCTAAATGTATCTTCCAACAAGATTATCTTCAGAACTAAAGTGATATCTACTTACGCCAGAGGTTAAAGTAGCCAACAACAACTAGTCTTCCATGTGTTTGTGTGTGCTGCATGTTTCAGTTCCTTCTGCTGTAGCATGTGGAGAAGTGACCGACTGACTGGCTGTGTCTCCCTTTCCGCTGAGATGGACGCTAGAAACTAAGTCAAATCCCCGAACAAACCACTTGTGTGTGTTTTAAGCGATCATTATCACGCTGGAAACAGAAAATGTAAACAAATCAGTGAACTACAAATAATCCCAAAAAAAAAAACAAAAAAAAAAAAGAAAATAGCAACAACAACAATAAAACTGAAATAATTTGACACTTAAAGATCACTCAAAACAATTCACAGCCAAGGGATACGGATACTCATAAAACGTTGAAGAGAAAATCCAAAGAGTGTCTGAAAGAGAGCAAGAGAGAAAGAGCACACCAAACACCTTAAGACAAATCGTATAGTATGATTTTCTTGCCTCGTTGAGCATTTCCACTCGAACTAGAATTTCGAAATTCGAACAAATTGTTGTGAGGGAGCCATAATTCAGTATTGATTTAAAATTTTGGTTCTCTGTTTAAACATGACTTCTTGGTATGGCAGTAGCAATTTTTATTTAAACGGTGCTAGACGATATAGATTTGATTTGTTCGTAGTATTTTTGGAGGAAGATTTAAAGATTCCATTTTCGAGAGCTCATGAAAAATTAATTAAAATTCGAACACAAAACCATAACAACGACAACACGTTAATAATCAATCCAAAACAGATTATTTGTTATCGGATACGCTGCTAAGACAAACCAAAAAAAATCAACAACAAAATATCTTCCACCAACCATTAAAAATAAGCAACAGCAAAGCAACAACAGTAATAATAAAAAATAAATAAATAATTTTACTAAATGTTTGTGACACAATGTCGGAATTCATTTTGAATTCTTGTTAAGAATACGACATCGTTGCAGAAAGCAGCAGAAACAAAAATGCAACAATCACATAAAATTAAAACAAAACATTTTTAAACAATAAAATTGCAGCCACAAATCGAGCTTACAAAGCAAAAATTTGTTTCGTGTGCAGCTTTTTTGCCAGTTAATGGGAATTTGCAGAAGTGAGTGTGGGTTTGTTTGGATATTTTCTTTTATTGTTTATTTTGAAAAAATATTTTCTTTATTGGGCCATTTGAGCCCTGCTTAAAGGAGAATTTACCAAAAACAAAAATAATTAAAAGTAATAATAATTTGAAACTATTTCAAATTATTTATTTAAAGAAAAAATATGGAACAATACTAGAATATTGTGAAGTTAACAGGATTTTTACATTTTATATCATTCCACTATTTATTTATTTTCACTATTTGTGATCTTCGTGTGCCGATTCTGTAAGCTGTCTAGTATAAATTTCTTCATCTTTTTATATGAATATAGGCACAACTATTTAGCTTGGAATTTTCTCAGCAGATAAGATTAAGATTATAATATATTTATTTCATTGTTTTGTTTAGTTTGCATCAACAGAATGACAAACGTCTCAGAACTTAGTCATATGAAAGGTAATCGGGATAATCATTTTAGATTCCATGCCTGTCTGTCCATCTGTGGAAAAACATGAAGTACTTGGACAAAATTTCATGCATATTAGGTCCCCAGAATTATTGGTATTGAAAATCAATCTATATATGTTTACAGATTGGTATAGATCCCATATAACTGTGCCAGCAGAATTCAGGTTTGTTTTGTTTTTTTTTTAGTGACAGTTTTAAAGCAAACTTGCAGTAAATTAAACAGTTTGTTCCGAATATGTAGAAAATATCCTTGTAGAGATATATATAGTTTTAGTATAAACCCCATGTGATTTTTCCTCCATATGTTCGGTATTATGAACATTTGTGTCAAAATTTTCACTGAAATTGTTTCATATTAGCTATCTATTGTAGTTACTACCTTCTACGACAGAAAAATTGCCAAAACAGGTTCACGTCTTCGTATAGCTCTCGTATAACGGAACTTCTCTATAATCGGTATTTTGTTAAACGAAATTACTTCAAAGTTGGTACTTGGTGTTGACAATAGGTATTTTCTTCTCTGATAGAAAATTGTCTTCATGGGCCTACCTTTCGATGGTCCGATGGTCGCTCTCCGCCCGTATTAATCGACCGTGGTATCGGAATAAATGCCGAATATTATCGCGAAAATATTCTGGAGGGTGTATCAAAGCCTTGGGCACGCAAACATTTTGGCCGCAGATCTTGAACATTCCAACAGGACTCAGCACCATGGCTACCCAAGAATGGTTACAAAATGAGGTTCCTCGCTTCATTTCCAGCGCTCAATGGCCACCAAAATCTGCGGATACCAATCCGTTGGACTATTGTGTCTGGAGTATTTTGGAAAGCAAGGTTGGCACTAATAAATACCAAAATGGCGATCACCTAAAGCAAGCGCTTCGCCGGAAATGGGCCAAAATACCGTTGAGCAACATTCGGGCAGCGTGTGACGTTTCATTGGCCGTTTGAAGGTCATAATTAGTGCCAAAGTTGACCAATTCGAATAAATCTAAACTTATTCCAAAATTTGATGCTATTTCCGACATTTTTTGCTTTCATTCAATAAAATTTAAAAAAAAGTAAGAATTGTGCTTTTGACTTTGTTGCAGTTTTTTTTATCTCACCCTGTATATATGTTCCTACTTATTATATATTTATGTTACATATTCCATGGATGCACTTAACTTTCAATTAACTTCGGTTCTACAAATTTCCAGATTTTTTTTTAAAATTATTAAATCTCGGACCTGCCCTTTTTTCTGTTTCCACGTGTGGGTCTTTTGTTTCTAGTCCAACAAATTAATTAATTGAAATAAATTGAAATGATTATAATATATATTATGTCAAATTATAAGCAAAGGTCATGAAAGTTTGATCTCTGTCATTTATTTTTATAGAAAATATTTTGATTCGAATAGCTTTATTGAATTATAGAAAACCAATACCGATTTTAATTTTCTTTGTTTTTCCTCCCATTTTTTTCGTTACAGCTCAATTGACGATGAAATCGATGGCAATTGTATTGTAAGAGCTCGTGGCTTACCCTGGCAGAGCAGTGATCAGGATATAGCAAAATTCTTTCGTGGTCTCAACGTTGCCAAGTAAGTAACAACAACAAAAGAAATTTTCAAATTAATTCGAATGATGTTGCAAAACAAAATCGAATGAAATTTTTGCATGATTGATATATAATAAAAAAAATTATTCAGATTTTTCAGTTGAAACACTGATAATCCGAACGATCAGACTGACATTTCATTTACATTACTTCTTCATGTAAATATGTACGGATGCATGTTTTTACCCATACATATTTACTGTATTCTACGCTAGGTATAACTGTAGAATTTACATTTTGTATGATAATGGAAAGGCTGCGGATGCAGTCTCTGCTGCTGCAGAAACTGATCGCCAAAGAAAATTGATTTTGGGTTTTCAAACAACAACGAATGCATTTGTTTGTTTGCCTTACTCACGTTGTAGCGCCACAGCTTTGTGTACTCCCGCTCTCTTTCTTTCTCTCTCAGCCGTTCGGTGTTTATTTTTCCTTGAAACAATAGCAATGACCAAAACAACGAAAAAGTCCACCACGGGTCGCATTACGCACTGATAAAACGATTTTGATTTTTACATTAGATTCGAACATTCGTTATGCCATGGTCTATTAGAAAAGCGAATGATACGTGTTTGTTGTAAATTTGAGCTCGCTCTCTAAAAAGTGACTTTATTAGAACAGTTTTCATTCATCGGCTAGAGTCGACACCTTATCAGCAGCACTGGTATCGGCATAGAAATCTGATTTTCTTGGTTTTTTTAGATTTCCGATTTCGGTGGTGTAATTGAGATGAATTGCATTGATTGTTTTGTGATTGGTTATTAGAAAGGTACTTGGAGTATCAAGTCATTAGTGAAATCTTGGAGGATATTTAGATTTAAAATTTCGAATGGAGCAAAGAACTTAACTTGGCGTCCAACAAGGGAATTATTTTACTCGACATAATTGGAAAGAAACAAGTAAAAAAGCACTAAGTTCGGTCGGCCCGAACTTTAAATACCCTCCATTATTTGGAACGAGTTTGGAAATTTTCAAAAAATTAAATCCTTAAAAAATTCTGTTAAAATTTTAAAAATACCAAATATAGCCGTTATATATTGGACTATACGACGTGGACCTACATAGGCATTGTTTGTCATAAGCCATTACCATATTTAAATTCGAAACTTCAAAAAAAAACGGTGAATAATGTAGCTAAAATCATCAAAATATCGTATATAGGGAGATACCGTTATACGGAGCTGTGCGAAGACCTGGACCTGCATAGACAATTTTCTGTCACAGACTGTAGTTCCCATAACGAACTTTAAATACCAAATTTGCAACAATCCATCGTAGTATCCATTTCGAACTTTAAATACCAAATTTGAAACAATTTAGGTGAATAATGTCGCTAAAATAATCAAAATACCGAATATCAGGAGGTACAGTTATATGGGGGCTATATGAAATCGTGGACCTACATGGCCCATTTACGAACTTAACCGGCCTACTGTAAAAATAAACATGTGTGCAACATTTTAGCCAACTATCTCAATTCATTCGAAAGATAGCGTGATTACAACAGACAGACGGGCAGACAGACAGACATCGCTAAATCGACTTAGAATTTTACTCTTTATCAAGAATATATATCATTTGTTGGGTCTGGCGTGAGTATTTCGAGGAACGGAATGACAATGTTAATATACCCTCCATAGTATGGTGTAGGGTATAAAAACAAGTAAAAAGGCACTATGTTCGGTCGGGCCGAATTTTGATTTACCCTTAATAATTCTGTTAAAATTTTAAGAATGCAGAATGTAGGGAGTTACCTGTGAATAATGTCGCAAAAACATTAAAATACCATTAATATAGGCAGGTACCGGCTATACGAAAACCTTGACCTGAATAGGCAATTTTCTATCAGAGGCTTTAGTACCTATTGGTAAATTCAAATACAAGATTTGAAGCAATTCCGATATATTTTCAAAACCAAAAGTCCTGCTGACCAAACACCCTTTTGAGAAACATTTTATCAACCTACTTCAATTCGTTCGAAAGCTAGAGCGATTTCCACAGACGGACGCTCACCGCTAAATCGACATAGAAGTTTATGCTGATCAGAATTATATATACTTTGTGGGGTCGAAAATGTATATTTCGAGGTGTTACAAACGGAATAACAAACTAAATATCCTCTCCATGCTATGGTAGAGGTATAAACATTTATCTGGGTTTGAAACGTTCAGTTATGTCACTTAAGTTTCTCTAGAATGCATTTTGCTGCAATTGTAAAAGTGGCGCCCAAGAGGAAAACAATTTATTTGCGTAAAATAGAGGTTTTGTGATATCTTAAAGTTTCTGACAATACTTTTTAAAAAGGTGAAACCTGAAATGGTATTCGCCAGTGTAAGTGGATGTACAATTCTGCCTAGTTGAGCCATTCCTTTCAGTGAACAGAACCATTCTTAATTACAAAATACAAACGAATGACTCGAATTGTTAAAGAATTTAGAATGATATTGATCAAAATAATATTTTCCAACCATCTAAGATTCTATTCTAATATTATCTATCACTCTCTTTTTATTTTCTACAGAGGCGGCGTCGCTTTATGCCTATCGCCGTTGGGTCGACGTAACGGTGAAGCTTTAATACGTTTCATATCCCAGGAACATCGCGACATGGCTTTGAAACGTCACAAACATCATATAGGCAATCGGTACATCGAAGTCTATCGGGCAACTGGAGAAGATTTTCTCTCGGTGGCTGGCGGGGCTTCAAATGAGGCGCAGGCCTTCCTCTCAAAAGGTGCCCAGGTTATAATACGCATGCGTGGCTTGCCCTATGATTGTACAGCCAAACAAGTGGTGAGTGTTGAGCAAAAATTTTCCATATCTGAAGATTTTTATAAAAACTTTTTTCTCTTTCCAGTTGGATTTCTTTACAACCGGTGATCAGCCCTGCAATGTCTTGGACAGCAGTGAAGGTGTCCTCTTCGTTAAGAAACCCGATGGCCGTGCCACAGGTGATGCTTTTGTTCTGTTTGCCAATGAAAGTGATGCCCCCAAGGCATTGTCACGTCACCGTGAATCGATTGGTCAACGCTACATCGAATTGTTTAGATCAACAACAGCCGAAGTGCAACAGGTTCTTAATCGTTCATTGGATCCGAAGACATATGAACCAAATCATCAGCCGCCTTTGATTGCTCAATTGCCACCAATGCAGTTGTCATTGTTGCCACAGGTGAGTGTGATAAACAAATTAACTATGGGAGGGGACGGTGGAGGCAGAATTATTAATTTAAAAAATATCTTTCAATCAAATGGCGCCCAACGTTTCAGTTTTGGCCAATAACCGATTTTATGACTATTTTTTAGCATTACTTTTGAATTTCTTGAAAAAGACAACCTTGGTATCATAGATAGGTCTCGGAAAGGAGTTCCTAGATCTCAGTATTCCTTCTAGTACAATTTTAATTGATATTGATGTAGCTATACCATCAGAAATTTTAAAAAAATCTTGTCCAAATATTGACGTTTTCCGTGAAGACAAGTTCATGTGAATACATTTTTGGGGACAAGGTTCAAAGACAAAATATTTTTATTCAAAGACCATATCATATCTGTAATTGGAAAAGATTGGAACCCCTCAAAATGGCGCCCAATGTTTTAATTTTTATTAATATCTGTTTTCATCAAGAGCGCTCAAAATAAATCGCTAACAGTATTCCCGAAATTCTCAAAGGGTCATTACAAAGTATGTCTAGTAATGCTACCAGTTTACCGCCACAGAGAGAACTATCAGAATTACCAGTTTGTGGAAACCGTGGACGTGAGATCTTAGTGTAACCGGCAACCTTTGACTCAAAAAAAATTAATTCGTAACCAAATACCTCAAAAGATGACGACCATTGGTGAATTATAAATAATAAGAAGCGTTGGACTCTGTTCTCGAGTAGTATAGTTCTGTAGATAGATAAAATGGCGCCCAATATTTCGGTTTTCCTCAATACCCTATGTTAAGTTCTTTATCCAACAAATCATTAGACCCTTATTCTGTCATATATTTCTAAAGAAAATTAGAGCACTGGATTTTCTTAAAATAAAGGAAAAAGATTTTAAATTACAAAAATGGCGCCCAATGCGGAACCAAAATAATCTTCGAAACTAATTTTGAATTTGATTACCTCCGCACCACATTCTAATGTTGCACTTTTTAATACCCTTTTTCAGCATTTGATTACATCTGGCACCACCAAGAATTGCATACGCCTGCGTGGTTTACCCTATGAGGCCCTGGTGGAACATATTCTACATTTCCTGGATGATTTTGCCAAGCATATTATCTTCCAAGGTGTTCACATGGTGATAAATGCCCAGGTATGTTTAAAATAATTTTTATAATTTTAAATAGATTTTATTAAAATATGTCGTTTACTTTTCCAGGGCCAGCCCAGTGGTGAAGCATTTATACAAATGGACTCCGAGGAATCGGCTCGTTTGTGTGCCCAACGTAAACACCATCAATTTATGGTGTTTGGCAAGAAATACCGTTACATTGAGGTCTTCCAGTGTTCGGGTGATGACATGAACATGGTCCTTAACGGGGGACTACAATCGCCAGTTCCTGCCGCCCATCCACATCCCCATTTGGCGGGTGGCAAGCAGCCATCATTATTATCACCGGGTATGTTAGCACAACAACCGCCGGCCAACGCACAAGCTATTAGTCCTCATACGCATGCTCATACTCATGTCCATGCCCATGCCCATTCCCATCCTCATTCCCATGCTCATGCCTTGCAATCACAGCCCTCGGTAGCTGCTGCTGTGGCAGCATTGGCACAGCCACAACATGTGGCGGTGCCGACGGCAGCACCTCCAGTACCATTGGCAGCAGCTGGTGCTATGTCACCATATATGACTGCACCCGCCGCAGCCCATACAAGTGTCCAACATCCGTCCTTGGCTCAATCGGCCGTGGCAGCTGCGGCTGCAGCTCAAAACGCTGTTGCCGCTGTGGGTTCTCTTGCCTCGCCACCAAATCAATTGGCGGTACACACAGCCACTGCTTCGGCTGTTAGCCCCCAGGCTGCCATGACTTTCCCCTTTAATTTATCCCTACCCCCACCACCCACAGCGGCTGCCACAGCTGCCCACAATTCAGCCTTAATTGCTCAACAACAAGCTCAATTCATTGCCCAGCATAATTTGATGGCACGCCAACAAGCTGCTGCTGCGGCCGCTGTTGAACAGCATCATCAGCACCAGCAGCAACAACAACAACAACAGCAGCAGCAACAGCATCATCAGCAGTTGTATGCAAATCTAAATCCTTTGTTTATGCAGCATCCTGGTGTTGCTACCATGGCTGGACCAAGTGGCGCAGGCGCACACACAGCTGTAGCTGCTGCTGCCGCAGTGGCGGGTCAGCCACAATTTGTCTTTATGCCCAGGCCGTATTTCCAGACTTTTAGTCCGTTGGGCTATATGCAGGCCCAACAGGGTTATCAGTTTGCTGCAGCTGCTGGCATGATGCCACCACAAACGCCACAATCTGCTGCTGCCGCAGCTGCCAGTAGTGGTAGTTATGCTGCGGCAGTAAATGCTGCAGCAGCTGCTGCTGGTTCATTGCCACATTCGATGAAACGCTCTTATGAAAACGCCTTTCAGCATGAGGCCAATGCTGCAGCCAGTGCTGCCAAGAGGGCCTTGACCAGACCGCCGGGTAATATTTATCATTTCTATAATCCGGGGGTTTAGAGAGGAGGTTATTTCGGGATTTTTAATTTCCGATTCTTCCGCAAGAAGAAAAATCCTATGGAAAGCAAATTACACTGTGCTACAAATAAAAATTAATAAAATAAATAAAATCCTCCAAAAGTAGCATGTTCTCAAAAAGCATTGACCAGATCTCCGGTCAAAATTTTTCATTTCTATAATCAGGGTTTTTAATTTCCGATTATCCCTGCGAGAACTTCTATGGTTTTTTTTTCGTAAAATTTCATACATATATTTAAAAAAAATTTCATATATATTATTTAAAATATATATATATATATATATATATATATATATATATATATATATATATATATATATATATATATATATATATATATATATATATATATATATATATATATATATATATATATATATATATATATATATATATATATATATATATATATATATATATATATATATATATATATATGTATATACATTTTGAGAATTTCCCCGTCAGTCAAATTTTGTTTTGCAGTTTAAATTCTGATTTTTTGCGAGCCTGAAAAAAAAACAGAAAATAAAATAAATTCAGTTTAAGGTTTTGAAAGATGACGTTCTGGTCCAAAATTGCTCAAAATTATTAAACGAATGTCACTAATTTAGAATATCCATAGGTTTAGAGTTACTTTTTGCAGCACAGTGTATTCGATTTCTATTACCAGTTTGAGAATTTATCTTCCTCACTAAGATTTGCTCAATATCCTTGGCTCCCCTTGGTTTTAAATTTATATGACTAAATATATATGTAAAAAATATATATATTTAAAAAAACATATATCGAATATTTAACTTTAGATGGAGACAAATTGTCTAGCATCCCTTAGTTTATAGACTGCTTAGCAGCTGTTCTTAAAAAAAATTATTTAAAAAAAAAACAATTTTTAAATATTTTTTGTTTCAAAACAAACAAAAAACCCCAACTCCATTACTTTGCTCAATACATTCCATTACAATTTATATATAAATATACATAAGTGCTTCCATGATACTTAAAATGTATGCCTCAAGCCAGCTTAAGAGGGCTCCAAAAATGATTGCAATATTTCAAAATTATTTATAAAAACATTTTACGATTTTGAAAACATTTATCCCCCATTCCCTAAAATTTCCCACTTTAACCTTTTATTAAAACCCTGGGTTAACCTTTTACTATATTTAACTTAATTTTTAAGTTTGAAAAAAAACAATATATTTTTTTTAATATTTGAATTATTTTTAACTTAGATTTTTGGATTAGATTTAAGTAAAACATTTTTGTTTTTAGAAAAGAAAAAGAAAACTTAGAAAAAAGATAAATATTTTGCACAAACTTTTTTTTTAAAACTACAAAACCAAGAAATGTTACAACTACTATTTTTTTCATTGTTTGAAAGCTAACCTTCAACTATGATTGTTTCTAAAAACAACCAACATAGTATGTGGCAGCTAAGACCATATGGGTACAAAAATTGAAGAATGGGTTAAAAAGATATTGGTTTAAAAACTATTACACAAGAAAGAGGCTAACGTTAATCAAATACTGTTTAACAAACAATTTTTTTCAAGTCTTTTAAAAATCCCTCCATATTAAAAAAAAAACTCAGAAAATTGTGCAATTCTTAGTATTTTTTAAAAATACTAAATTATTTTTTATTATTGTTAAATTGATAGAAACTCCCCATAAATGTTAAACCGTGTTTGATTAACGTCTGGTGTTGGCTTAAAAAATTAAAAACTTGGTTATTTAAAATGGTTTTCGTGCATACTATATCATAAAACAATTGGAGGCCTTTGCATCACGTGTTGCTAAATGAAAAAAAAGTCAAATTAAACAAATAATTATTTCAAAATTGTAAAAAAAACTCATTTAAAAAAAGAATACAACAATTCATTTAAAATTTTTAGTTTTAATCATGATTATTGTTTAAATTTTTTATTAATTGCCTTAGTTTTAGAAAAAAATATGAAAACTGACATTTTCATATAATTGATCTTTTATAAACAAACAAAAGAAATAGTGGTAACTCTCTATTGAAAACCTTTCCTGTAACATGTCTGTGTCTATCTCTTTTCCTCCTTCTGCTCGTCTTCCACTAATACTTGGTTAGAATAGATGAATTAATGAAATGGAATTTAATTAAAATTAATACAAAATCTGCGTTTATTTTCACAAAGTAATGACATTTAAATTTAAAATGACAATATCAATAATAATTCTTAAAAGATGATTTCTAAAAAATAACGTATTTAAAAAAAAAAATAAATAAAATGAAAAGAACCATTAGTTTTTCATGAATACATGAAATCCTTAAAACTTTGTGAAAATAAGCCCATTAATAAATTTGAACTTAAACATCTCAAATCCAACCCTTTTCTTAAAAAAAATTATAATTAAATTCATACATACATACATACTCGCATAATGCTGTAAATATATCGACGGCGCCATAATGTTCAAGGAAATCTAGATCATTAGAACATTTTGTCGCTTTCATTGTGTTTATGGCACAATTTTCCCATCATTCCTAAAAAAATGCATTAAAAAACAACTATCTCATGGTGTTAGTCACAAAATTGTCCATGTGTTTGATTATTTCGAAATAATGGTCTTATATCTATTCCTATCTCAATGTGTTTGTCTCGTCATCACTAATTCAAATTCACCATTTTAGTTAGACACTTGTAAAATAGCTTTGTGACAATTTCTTTGCTGGGTTTCATAGCTTGATTAAAGTTAGAAGATCTCAGTCTATTTCATTAATATCTTATAGCACGTTTACATGTCAATAACTTTAATTTACTCCTTATTTAAGTAGTTATTAAAAGTTGTGTGTTCGGTACTTGTTAAATGACATAACTAGTACAAGTGGGAAATATGAAATTCTCGTTGAGAGAACCACTTTTATCAGAGAGTTTGGTAATTAAAAATTAGTAAATTTTATCGAAAATACCAATACCAACCAATTAAAAGTTGATACACTACAATTTCTAACTCAATAAGATTGGTTCAGTAAAGGGATTGTCATATTTTTTACGTTTTCTAAATTAGTCTCAAAGATTTAATAAGTGTTTGCTGGCTAGAGGAAAATTTTCTTTTTTCGTATGAAAGCTGTATCTGTCAATAGAAGAACATTCGAAATTGCCCTCCAGTTATGTAGTATATAACTATTTCCCGTTCCTACCTGGTGTTTACACAATGCAAATCGCCTTGAATCAGAGTTGTATTTTACTGGGTCTATTATTCCCCTCTCCTCATATACTCATAATGTTAGATTCATGGTAAAAGAGTATAGGTAGATGCATCAACGCTTGGGAATATTGATATGTCAAAAATTTTAAAATGTTTTCTATTAATAGAACAGTGTTGTTGTTGCAAAATGCTCAGGCTTAATCCCATTACTGTTGTTTTTATAAAAACAACGTTTGTTTATTAGTGGAGAACGAAGGTAATGATTACCAGGCAGTACGGCAAGGAATACCTAGGTTTCGGAAAGAGCCACCAATCCTCACCAGTTCCCTTGTTCCCATATTACATAAGACTTAGGCTGAACAAATCGACAATATAGGTCGGCACAAAGATCAACATTTTGAAGATGAAAATTTGAAATATTTCCCTGATTTTCTTCAAACTTCGCATATGACGAGTTCTTTTAAAGTTAGGTTAAGAGTGAATATGAGATATATCAATCTTCTTACATTTCCCCCTTCATAGGTAAACATTTCTTTAGACTTCGTCCATTTAAATATTATTGTTAACATAGAATCTAGGGTAATAATGGGATATCTCGTTCCAATCCTTCTAATACCTCCTACAAAAATGGGTTTGGAAAAATAATAAAACACATATGAATATGAATAGTGAGCCCGCGGTATTTGAATCACACTTTTATCACGTGGGATAATAAACAATATCGA